TTGTGGCTCTGTTTGCTTCTCTTGATTCTTATCCCCATTATTGTTGGCCTCCATTCTTTCCTCTGCCCCTGTCCTTGACCTCTTTTAGCTGGTATTTCTTTTGGCTTGTCACATGAGTGACCTACTTGTAAGCATTTTTGACAATACAGTGGTTTCCATTCATACAATTTTGTTGCTCCAGTACTCTCCCCTTAGGGTCTCGAATCTTAATCATCTTGGGGAGAGGCCTAGTCACATCCATTTCAATCTGTATTCTCGCAAAGGATATGCGACTTGCTTGTGTGGTACACTCATCATCATATAGTGGTTGTCCCAAACTACTTCATATTTTGCTTAGAACCACAGAATTCCAACAGTTAAGTGGAAGATTAGGAAGTTTTATCCATATCGAAATAGTAGTGAGGATCTCTTCTTTGAAATTAAATTTTGGGAGCCAAGGCTTTATTATAACATGTCTTTTGAGAAAATAGTGAGGTCCTGCACACAACACCTTATTCCTTTCCTCTTCATTTGCAAATCTAACTACAAAGTATCCATCAGAATGATATAGAACTACTGGTTTAGCAGAGAATGACCCCTGGGCTACAATAAACCTTTCCATAGCTCCAATTGATGGTATTGCTCCTACAACATAAACAACCATCGAAGGAGCTCATTTCTTATCCTCCTGAGCTACGACATAATTTCTACTACCTTCTCCCCCTCAACAATTAATGGAGCTATATAGTTTAAGTTCATACCTCTCCCAGTTAGTCGGTTTGTGGAAAAGAGGTTCGCCCACGGCTTCTCAAGTGATACATCCGGAAGGTTTAACTTTCTCTGTGCTCCTCCCACATTCTAGTCCAAGTTTACTGTTCCATTGATCTCGATGGGATTTTTTTGGATACCCCCACCAGTTCCTCATTGTTGTGTTAGCTCCGACCATTCTTCATCTCTTACTTGTTTCTCTTTGTCCAAATCTAAAACCACCACTGCCATAGCTTCTAGTGTGCTCAGTTGTATCTCACTCCGTGGAACTGTGTTTATTTTTCCTCCATTAGCACTAGTAGAAATTCCATGCAATATTTCCTCTGCTCGATCTTTTTGCTCAGGTTTCCGTGGTCGTCCTCTTCCCATTTCCGGCGAGGTGCAGGTTAATGCACTCTAACGTGCGTCAGGCTCAGAGAGATAAGATTTGAAATGGAAATTTGAAATATAATGTGGATATTACCTTGTAATCTTAAACATATAAAAAGGAAAGTTAGAATTAAAGAGTTGTCAAAAAAAGGAAATAGACATATTTATTGAAAAGACTAAAAAAAAAATGTGACAAACAAATTGAAACGAAGAGAGTACTATGTTTGTGAAATTTATAAGCCATTTCCAGAGTGTTTGAACCACCTGCGGTTTGTTATTTAGGGGAAACCATAATTGTTAAAATGTTATGCCATGACGGAGGGCGGGTCAAAGAGAGGAACTGAGAGATTTTTAGGTTGACAAATTTCCTGGATGAACATGACATCTTAGCTAAATTTCATATCAAAATTAATAGGAGAAGAAAAGAAAGATAAATTTGGGATCATATCATTATTGTGGGATTTTGGGATTTTGGGATTTTGTGGCGACTTTGTCGCCACTAAAAGTCAAGTTCTTTTGTAGTGAATTTTAGTTGGCAATGCTTAGGTGGAGGGATTAGTCCCATGTGGCTTGCTACGTCACTAAAAATTGGGGTGTTAACTCTTGAGGGTATTTGTGGTCTCCTGGGATAACTGCGGGGTATTTTTGATCCCAAAATGTAATGGAGGGTATAAGTGGTCTATTTCGCATAGTTCAGGGGCAATTTTGACCCTTTTCCGTAAATTTTATAAGGCATAACACAAATTTACAAATACGTTTTCGAGTTCATAACCCGATCGAGTAACGAATTTGTGATATCTGCTGGGCTAAAGCGCGCGGACAATACCTGCCATACATTTGGATCGTAATATTAAAGCACTTGATATTCCTGAAGTATAACAGAGAGCTGCGATTCATTATTGGAACAAATTATAGTGTTAATATAATTTCGAACCTAACTTGGAAGTGTAAATGCTAGAGAAATTTATCGAAATCTCATCACTTCAGAAACTAATTACTTAGGTTATTCTAATTTTTGATATTACAAATCTTATCAGATTTTGTTGCGTTCAGATACATGTATCTTGGGATACATGAAGTCAAAATTAGGTGAATTTGTTTTAGATACATTATATCCAAGTGGTTTCACATGTATTTGAGATACATAACAAATCTCGTTCGCCTCCTTCCCATCTTGCTCACCACTCTCCTATGTATCTGATATCTCAAATACATACAAATATATGTATCTATGTGTATCTAGTGTGATTCACTTGTATATGGAATATATGACTATCTCCCTCGTCTCCCTCCCCGTTTCACCCCCGTCTTTCCTTATTTTAGTGTATTAGATAACAAAAATACATGTATCTAGGTATATCTTTCTCAATATATGGTAAGAAACTCTTAATAAATACTCCCTCCGTCCCTATTTACTTGTCCATATTTCCTTTTTTAGTTGTCCCTATTTAGTTGTCCATTTTGCCAAATCAAGAAAGGACAACAAATTTTTTCCTATTATACCCTTATTTACACTTCTTGAAAATTGTAAAAGTGTATGTTGTTTCCGTCCAATTTATTTCACTTGAATTCAAATAAGTGGTTGTAATTTTGAAGTGAAAAGTTGTCATAAGGGTAAAATTGTAACTTCACTGTGCTAATCATTGTTGCCTTAATCTGTGTGTCATTTCTAAAGTGGACAACTAAAAAGGGACGGAGGGAGTAGTACGATACATAATTATTTGAAAATATAGGTAGAATTCATATATATGATGATATGGATATATGTCTAATAAAGTAATTTCTCCTAAATATTACCGTAGTCTTGACATTTTTCTAGGATTTAAAACTATAGTTTAGCAAATTTTTGTACTTACTCCGTTTCTAATTTATGTAAAGATATTTAACTAGACATAAAATTTAAAATTAAAAGAAAAATATTTGAAATTTATTATCTAAAATAAGTTATATATGTTAAATCGGATGCCACTTGGGGTTACGTTCTAGTTTCTCAAGTTAGAGTTGTTACATATATCTATCATTTGTATCTCATGACAATTTAATTTTATTCTTATATGAAGTTCTGTAACCTAGATATATTGCCATGTGTTGCTTCAAACTTTTTTCTTTGCGTAGCCATCTATAAAAAAGAAAAATACCATTGTTACAGAATCTAGTTATATCTTTCTTTCATTGTTTTTCTAAGAGAGTGGGGAAGGGGGGAAATAAAATTAACTATTCACCCACAAGAATCTCAGAGTTGATAACATTATATTAATCAGATTTATGACATCACTAAGAAAACAAAATAATCCTTGAATATTTTTTAATAAATGCAGCGACCCAAGTATCAACAATACAATTGACCAATAAAATATTACTCTATTCAATCATTTAATTTTTCCGTGTTGCGGAAGTCATATGTAGATGTAAATTGTAATACTCCTCCCATCTCAAAAATATTATTGTATTTTTTTTATATGCCTCGTAAAAAAAACATCACTTAAGAATAATTTTTTAAATTATTTTATCTTTATTTATATCTACTTTATGTATATATGTATCATACTAAAGTGTTTATAATATTCTAAAATAATTACTATTAAAAATTCAAAAATATTTCTAAACTTTTATAATAACAAGTATTTTAATACATATATTTTTAATAAAGATGATAAACTCTACGAGGGAGTAATATGATTTTGTATATATGAATGAGGTGGGTGCATTTAATCTAGCACACGTAGAGGGGAGTTGGCAGTTTATTGAAAATCCGGTCAACGTGTAGAGGGGAGTTGGGAGTTTATTGAAAATCCGGTCAACGTGTAGATGCATTTATTAGCTAACATAACAATGAATGAGTACAGCTATTACAGTTGCACAGTTAGTAGATGTCAACCATAACACGATAATAAGCCCTTTCCCTTAATTAACCTACACATGAGATGGACAATATAGGATAATCATCGAACGTCCATCAATAAGGTAAAAGTTGAGACAATCTATTAAAATAATCTTCAATTACATGACATATGGCATCACCGGATGCATGCTATGTTTTTGCTATCCAAAAATAATAATCTTTAATCACATGACACGATGTCATCTGGTGCTAAGTTTTTGCTATCCAAAAACAAGGCAAATTTAGCCTTAATAAAGAAGTGGACATATTTAGTTTCAACTATTAACTTGATAACAAATACGTTACATTTCGCATAGTTCTAAAACAAGTTTAATTAACTCTTTGACCAATTGAAATTTTATTTGTAGATGGTCAATATAAAGAATTTTTATATATTGTAACAATTTGAATATTAAGGTATGCCGTGTAACTTATAAAGGTTATATATCTAGTAGGAAAAAAGGATAAATATATCCCCGAATTATCGTAAATGGTATACAGATACCCTCTGTCATACTTTGGGGACATTGGTGCCCCTGCCGTTCAAAAACTAAAACATATATACCCTTTATACTAATGGACATACACGTGTTATAATCTTATCCCCCGACCGATTAAATATTGGATCGACAGACAAGATTATGCCACGTGTCCCTATTTAGTCTTCCGTTAGAGTGAAGGACATATAAACTCTAGTTTTTGGATGGCTGGGGCACCAATGTCCCAAAAGTATGACGGAGGGTATCTGCATACCATTTACGATAGTTCAGGGGTATATTTGTCATTTTTCACTTTAATATTTTCCTTGGTAGTATACACCACCTAAGTCTCAGTATTTTCCATAGTTTAATTACTTATTTATTATAAGTCCATTCAATAATAATAAAAAATTAAAAAGAGGAAAAAGTCCCTCTCATTATTGGGATGGCTAGGACCATCTTGTAGGTAGCTAGCTTCTCTTTTACTTGCTTTATATACCCATATCTCCCTTCAGAATTTCTACACCCAAACTTAAAACTTAGTTCTCTCTCTTATATAGAAAAAAAAAAAGTTGTCTATTGACTTGAAAATAGCAATCAATTTATAATCTCAAAATGGCTCCAGCTTCTTACAATTGTATTTTCAATACAATATGTGTAATGGACGCTTCCACTCGATTAGGCACAAAGCTAGTAAAACGTCTTCTCAAGAGAGGTTACACTGTTCATGCAGCTATTCAAAATCATGGTAAGATCGCCCATCTCAAACCATCTGTCGTATTTCTGTTGTACACGAACATTAATTAGGAAGGGTTTTGACTATTAAACTCTTCAATTGATATTTGAACAATCAAACGTCATAGGGTGTTTGTATTTTCAGTTCAAACACGATAAATAATTTGAGACAAAGGAGTATAATCACTTGTTTATTTCCTTCTTAGGCGAGTCGTCGTCGTTGAAGAGGATTGAATGTGAAGAGAAGAAATTGAAGATATTTGAGTCGGACCCTTTTGATTATCATAGTATTCTTGATGCTTTGAAGGGTTGTTCTGGTTTGTTCTACTCATTTGAACCTCCAGCAGATTATCCTACTTACGATGTACGTAACCTTATTACTTTCAATACAAGTTTATTGTTTTTTTATCTTCTTATTAATTTCTACAGCTAGCTAAGCATGTGTTTACAGTGTGGAAGTTAGTGTTATTTATGATTTAATAATAAGATTTTGTTCTATTGAGGATTTTATAGTGACCAGGAAGAATGTGTTAAAATAAAAAAACAAATAACTTATGCATCACCATAATTAAATAATGATGTCCCGTCGTGGTAAATAATGGGTACGTGTATAATTATATTGAAAAAAAATACCATTATTTTAATTCTCTTTTGATGTTAAAAGAACTTATTATTATTATTGTTAAACTTATGCACCACTTAAGATATCATTATTGAAGTAACTACCAATTTTGTTTTTGTAATGTCGGAGCTAGAATTTTGATTAAAGGGTATCAAAATATAAAAAAGTAAAATTATATAGAAGTCAAAGGGTGTTAGTATGAAATATTTTTACCTAACTACACAATATAATTTTTCGATGAAGGAATGTTGATCATATGGCTCCTTCACTGCTCTTTTGATGTTAAAATAACTAAAACGGAAAATATATTTTTTAATATACTAGAAAAGTAAAAAATAAACAATAATAATGAAAGAGAAAAAACTATATAATTCTAATTAATAGAGCCGGTTTCTGTACACGTAAGGGTTACATATTTCGTTACGCAGACACTTATAAGTCAAACATTATTTAGATAGGTACTATTTAAGGAGCGTGATAAATTAGGCAGCTAGCAGTTGAATGAAAGGGAGGTAGCAGGATGTGACAAATTAAATTAAACATATAATAATAACATATCTAATATAAAAGCAATATACAGTTTTATTAAATTATTTTTAATACACCATCGACTCATCGGGTATATATGATTGCAGGAAGAAATGGGAGAAGTGGAGGTGAGGGCAGCACATAATGTATTGGAAGCATGCGCACAAACAGACACAATAGAAAAAGTAGTTTTTACTTCCTCAGCAACTACAATTATTTGGGGACATGATAAAGATTCTGCACCATCTATTGATGAAAGACATTGGACTGACATCAACTTTTGTCGTAAATTCAAGGTATCCATATTTATCATGTGTTCTTTTTTCTTTTATTCTTATATCATATTCAAGTACTTCCTCCGTCCACTATTGTTTGTCAAAATAAGATCATGCACAATACTTAAGAAAAATTTAATATAAGGTGCAATTTGACTAATATAATCCTACTATCAATTATTATTAAAGTAGTCCTATAACTTTAAAAAGGCTACTTTTTGAAACCAGTAATTATGTAATTATTAAGGGAAGAATTGAAAAAAAGTGACTAATTATTTCTTTATGATTTAAATTGACAATTAATTTTGGATAACAATTTTTAGTATACCTAACAAACAATAGTGGATGGAGGGAGTATTATTTACATGCACGTTTTATATGAAGTATATAGGTCAAAATTATTTTTCATTCGTATATGTTAAATATATGAACACACTTAACGAAATCTCTGACTTGATCATTATTGAAATGGACAGTTGTGGCATGCTATGTCAAAAACACTAGCAGAGAAGACAGCTTGGGGATTGGCAATGGATAGAGAAATAAACATGGTGACTATTAACTCAGGACTGTTAATGGGTCCTGAATTAACCATTACTAATCCTTATCTGAAAGGTGCAGCTGAGATGTATGAAGATGGTGTGTTTGTGACTGTTGATCTTGATTTCTTGGTGGATGCCCACATTTGTGTTTATGAAGATATAGCATCATATGGTAGATATTTGTGCTTCAATCACATCATTAACCAAAAACAAGATGCTCTTAACCTTGTCCAAATGTTGTCCCCTTTGCCTTCTCTACCTCAAAGGTATACTAGTACACCTCATTTTTATTCATTTGGTTTATGGATAGAGTTTAACTACTTACGATGTAAAAGAACTTTTAAACTATCAGATCACCTAAAAGATCTTCATAAAAAGTGAGACTTATTATCATGAAAATAATACATGTTACCTGTTACAACATGTAAAGTTGATTTGATAGTGTGCAAAGAATTTCTTATATTATCATTGCATATAATAAGTTAAATTCGACCAGCTAGATATTTGTCTTAGGGTGCCGCAAGGGTACATCTGAACCCTCTTTGTTGCAAAGTTGAATTTTATTTCTTTGAATTCTCTCACATATACATAACACATAACTAATATTTTTCGTTTTGGCATATGATAGTTTGGAGGAAGACACAACGATAATACAACAAAGGATCAGCAACAAGAAATTAAACAAGCTTATGGTTGACTTTAGAGGATGCCAGCCTCAAATGATGGACCAAAATGCAAATCAAGACATTTGCTTATGATGAAAAAACTACATATTAAATCAAAGGGATCTGAATCTCTTATCCAAGTGTACAAATAATGTCCAAGTGCAAATCAAATGCGATAAAATTACTTTTCCCAAACCCCACTTCCCAAGTAGGCAAGTTACTAAAAAAGTTGCTCCTAAAAAGAAAGAAAAAGAGAGGACACATAGATGGCTAAATGCAAGGCATGTAATCATGTTTATGTACAAAAGTCAATAAATTAAAAAACACCATGTGAATTATGAGTTGTTTTTTATGTGCAAAAATGTGATGGTTACTTTAAGTCTAATCGTTTACTTGCAAGTCCAACTTTATACAGCTGCTAGCTAGTGGATGATATAGAAGGGAACAGGGGCAAATACATCTCCGAACTATCGTAAATAGTATGCAAATACACTCTATTATGTTTTTGAAAGATTGGTGCCCCTGCCGTATAAAAAGTAGAGCATATATATGCCCTTCACTCTAACGGATCGATGGATAAGATTATGACATGTGTATGTCTGTTAGTATAAAGGGTATATATGCTCTAGTTTTTGGACTGCAGGGGCACCAATGTCTCAAAAGTATAACGGAGGATATCACATACCATTTACGACAGTTCAGAGGTATATTTGTCATTTTTCCCTATACAAAATGATAAGAGAAAATTTCACAATAGCAAAGAGATTAAACTTAATAAGTCTTCTTAGCTATAGTTTGTTTAATTGCACTTCATAGCTAAGTTACGTTTGCTATGGGTATTTTCGTTTGTATATTTTGATTGTCAATATATAAATAGGGTAAGTATATACCAATTTTGTATTTATACATTTAAGAATTTTTTATAATTCCGTTTGTATATTTCGCTACAAATAAGGTAATTTATTATTTTTCATAATTTATACAAATAAAATGTATCAACAAATCGTATACAACTAGCTAAGGTAAGCATATACAAATTCATAGCAAAATTTAAGAAATTGTAGCAGTTAATTATAAATATCCAAAATTGTAGCTAAATTAAATAATATACTATAAATATTTGTCATTTTCGCATAAATTTTTCCCTAATGATTTAGTCTTTGGGTAAGGTTCGCTTTCAAATTTAATTAAATTTTGAAAAAATCAGTGTACAATTTCCATCAAAACTCTTATATTAGCCTTTTTCAATAACAAAGTCCATTGTTCCCATCAATACATTATTTGTTTTCTAGATACACGTATTTAACGTTGCTTTCAAATTAAACGCTTGTTGGTTCTAATTTTCTCTTAGAAAGACAGCAAACATACGTATAGTTATATAAATTCATAAAATTTTGACACGCTTACAAGAAAGATAATTGTCAATGCACTATATATGGACCCTCTACATCTTCTTAATTATATGGCAGCCTAATTATATATCACTCTTTTGAACACTTGTTTTTGTCTACCTATTGATCATTTACAAGTTTGCCTCACACAACTCTAGAACACTAGGCATATTACGGAATGGTGCTTAAATGATACACTCCCACTCTATACCAATAATGATATATATATTTATAATGTCACGATCCAAAAAAGGACATGATGATACTTGTCTTTTCTCATTAAAACAAGTCAGCCTCAACCCAACGAAAACGAAAGAAATGTGAAAATATAAAGCAAGAACAAGACGAAGGCAGAAAACTTATTCATTCTAAACAAACCCCAAAACCTGGTTGTCACATGTACAAGCCACTAACGAAAATACAGAACTCGAAAGATAAATACAAGTCTCAATCATTGTTTTTCAAGTAGAACAAAGCTTAAAGAAAAGAAAAAGAGGGTCCGCCGGCAAGCAACTACCTCTCAAATCTTTCAACGGGCCTCGACTGTCAGGAGAAAAAGAAAAAGATCACGCGGATCTAGTCTCGAAAACTACACAAGTGTAGAAGCAAGGGGTGAGTACCAAAAATACGGTACCCAACAAGCAACTTAGAAAGAAGGCATCTACCTAGAAATGGATACCCCTTACACTTTAACTGAACCTTCTAAAACTACAACCTGCACAATAATCAACCCAACCTAGCAATTCTACAATGCACGACTCACAAGGCCCGATATTCACAGTTCAATCTTCACAATTCAACAACCCAACAAATCAAATAAGTCAATATCAATGTCAAGTAGTTTGGTTATACGCACAAATACATCAATCACAATTAATGAGTAAGTCACGCATAAGCATAAAAATATCGAGTCACAATAATCAATCTCTTGCCAGAACCATTTTTCATCGGCACAATATTACTAGTCGGGACCATTTTCCATCAACTTTATATTACTAGTGGGAACCATTTCCCCTCGACTTTATATCACTAGCCGGAACCATTTCTCATTGTCTTTATATCACTAGTCGGGACCATTTTCCACCGGCTTTATATCAAATCACTAGCCGAAATCATTTTCCATCGGCTTTATAAACACTTGCCATAAATGACCTCGGCATCACAACACTCACCGGCAAAGACCTCAGCATCACAAATCATCACATGTTTCATCACAATCTTCACAATCAATGCATACAAGTAATATCACACCACACGGAAGAGATAACAATTCACACAATTCAAGTCCACATTCATGCTTTCAAGCATTTCATCAATCAATCATCAAGTGTCACAATAAGGCAATTCACATCATCATGTTCATCACAAAGTCTTTTTCATTTCAACCCCTTTTTATTCATTTAGATTTATCAAGTGGACAATTAAACCTTTCACCTCATCCCATTACTCCCAACACACAAGCAACAAAGGAAGCACATGAATTCTACTAGAATACAAAGTTTATAAGATCACTTGTCTTAAATCAATCAATATCAATCTAAGAATTGAGTCTTCCCCTTCCAAAACACTTCCAAAGTCACACAATCTATATACAAGAAAGTATTTACCATCACATTTCAGAAACAATGATTCCCACATCAATCCTCATGAAAAGTGGGTCAATCAACACAAAACTCAATTCCAAAATAAGGTTTGAATCCAAATTTTATACTTGAAACATTACTCAAGGCTTTAAGAACTCATAAGGAAAAATCATTTTGAAAAATGGCTAAAAACCACTTCAAAATCATCATTTTACTAAGTTTTTGGGTTCTTGCAGATAAGCTCAAATTCCTCATTTCAAAAGCTTGATTTGAACACATAAATTCATAAACAATAATGGGTAATTTAACATTTAGAGTTAAGTATCGTTACCCAAAAGTTTTTCCTCAAAAATTTGTTCCAAATTGCCACCACAAAGCTCTCAAACTTCAAATTAAAAATGGTGAAATAGGGGGTAAACCCCGAAATGGCAAGCCAAAAACCCCCTCGACCAGGGGTTCACTTCCCTGCTAAAAACGCATCCCTCACAGAAGTGAAGAGGCTCTCACTTAAGCGACCAGCCTTCGCAAAAGCGAGGCCTGCAAACACACCAGGAAAATACAGCCAACTTTCAACACTCCGAAAAGACCCTTGGGATTCATCCGAAACCCCATATAAGAAAATCAATTATACTCGATGTTACGGACTTAATGGAATTGTCAAAATACAAATTCGAGGTCTCCTTGACCCGACATCCGTGAAAATCACAAGGAACTAACTCACGCCTAAAAAGGCTAAAACAAGCTCAAGACCTCCCAAAAATCAGTCAAGATCTCACTTATGCCTAAAATCATACCCTGAATTCAACGAAACTCTCAAAATTTTAATCGATAAGTCTATTTGGCACCCACGGACTCTAAATCATGGATCCGCCACTGCCTATATAGACCGTTCGATCAAACTACATATACTTATGTATATCATATGTATAAGTGTGTGTGTGTATATATATCATATATTTAATACATGTATCAACATCATTACTAATAAGCGAGAGTTTCGTGGGACATTCAAAAGGGTATATCTGTCATTTTCTCTTGTCCTTTTCTTGTCTCTTAGACACGTGTGTTTTCTCATTCTGAAAAATTGCATTTCACTTCATTGTTACCACTTCGTCTCATTCACCTTCTTCTCTCGATGTTTGCCGCATGTGTTTGTACATCCACAAAAAAGATCACTTCCATATTCACCAATATAATGCTTTTGGTATGTTCTCTGTTTTCATTCATCGATTTTGTGGGTTTTCTTTGAAGTCTTGCCTCTTGGTCTAATATGGGATAAGACTTTTGGCTTGATTTGCTGGGTTTATGTCTTCTTCAATGTTTTCTTTGAGGCTCCCGTAAAACTTAATTTTAATTTGGTTTGTTTGTTGAATCCGAAAAAACCTCCAAGAAGAAGCTTTGATTTACATGGTTTGCATTGTTCTACTTGGTTGCTTTTACTTTGAAATAATTTGGTGTGTAAAACATTTCTTCGCTCGGAACAGCAATAGACTGCCAATACCAAAGTAAAGCTACTTATCCCTAAGCCATCCGAACTACAACATTCACATGTCTCATACTAATCTATTATGCCTTTAATTCGTTTCATAAATATTTTGACCTTTGTGTGTGCATGGTTTCTCTTATTTCAAAGTCTTTTCCTTTTGTGCAAATATGGTAATATTTTCATATTGACACAAACCCGCACAAACAGTAAATATGTAAACTATAGCTATGGAGCTTAATTAAGTTTAATATTTATAGTGGTTAGTTGCGAAAGTTCCCCAAAAAGACAACAATGGGCTCCAATTATTGACTAAACCCAACCAAGACTTACGAAGACTCAATTTTGTAACACTTGACAACTAAAATAAGATTTTTTGATAAATTTTCATTGAAGATGCAGAGCAGTTACCAACTTCTCTGGGTGAGATTTTTGGAGCAACAAGACAAACAAATTTCGATTACCGCCTCTCTTATATAATAAAGCACCACATTGATACTATTGAATATAGACGTTATTCGCATAAATCAAGATTGATTATTCTTGATAATGATGTCATTGTGAGGAATCATGTTCGTGAATTTACGTTCACTATAACTAATTAAACTCAATCGTCTTCTAGCAATTAAAGGACTCTTATGATTCTCATGCAGGTAGCTCTTCTAAATGGGATCACATTGGGTGGTAGAGCTGCAATTTCAAACCCCGCTGTTGCGACTGTAATATATCGTGTCATATTCATATCCTCAATTTCATTGCTTGAACGTTACATATCATTTTCTTTCACTCTCTTATATACAAAGGCATTTTTACTGATGATGTTATTCATTTGGGAAGACCTTTGCTAATGTGAATTTGGGAGATTTGTTATAGTACATAAATTGGAGC